GAGTCTATCTGGTCCGTAAATGCATACATTTTCTGACCACGTGATCGTAGGAACCTGCATTTCTACCAGTGTTTTCGTGCAGAGTGAGTAATCCCCTGTGAGTAACCTCCTCTGATTAACGACTAAATATAGTATAATACAGACATGGCTGTATCTCAAAAACTACAAGGATTACAGTGCCTATAAAAAATATTCAACCCCTTGGAAGTTTCCCTCTTTAAATACTTTTCAATGCTGAATCATGGACAATTTTAATTTGACAGTTTTTCGACAAGAATATGCAAAAATGACAAAAACAGATTTGTAAAAGTTAATGTAAATTAATTAAAAGTATAAAAGGTAAAATAACTGGGTTCATAAGTGTTTACTTTGTGTTTGGTAGATGCACATTTTGCTGCAATTGCAGCATTGAGCCTGTGTGAGTAGGTCTCAGTGAGCCTTGCACATCTGGACACTGCAAGTTTAACCCTTTCTTGGTTATACCCGTGTTTAGTTTGGTGAGTCGCTTTAAAAGAGGTGAATACTTATGCATTCCTTTATTTTATATTTTACTTTTAATTAAGTGGCATTGTTTTGTAGAAATCTTTTTTTCACTTTTGCATGACGAGTCTTTTTTTTGTCAATTATTGTCAACAAATCTGAATTACATTGACCATGATGGGAAAAACATCAAAATGGGGTGAATACTTTTAATGGGAACTGACTGCAAACACCATGACTTTTAATAATATTTGCTTTGATTCAGTGCAAATCTGATATCTAGCAAAGCAAATTAATGTTTTTTAAAATCATCGCTTGACAGTTTCCATAGCAGATCTGGTATTTCCACCTAACATTAGTGGGATTTTTCCTTAACACACTAAAAACTCAAACTAAAAACAGCCATTAAATAGATACAGAAGCTGTTGGTATAAATACTATATCAAAAGCCCAACAAGTTGTCTTCATGTTGCATCCTTCCGTATTACTATCAGTCGTGGTATACGAGTAACACGTAAAGGGACAGTTGTGTGGTCATTTACCAATAATAGATAGAAAGTTAAAAAATAGTCACAAATATGCATCTGAATGTGGAGAATATTTAAAATAATTGAAGGTAGATGCTCCTCACGAGCTTCCCCATATTAACCCATATATGTCTGAGTTTTTATTTCAAAATAAATTTTTAAAACAAAAACAGTCTCAGTCCAAATTAGCACCATTCTCAGGAATAACCTTTAAACAGAACACAGGGGAACCAGAGATTTCTTTAGACAACAAGGTCAGCATCGGCTGTAATTCTGTAAACTGAAAGTAAAAAGAAAAAGAGCAGCCTCAGTTTCCCCTTCAGGATAAAGCACAATCCTGGAGTTTTCAAACCAAAACAGAATCAGCAGTCGTCCCAAAAGTCCCAAGAGCTGCATGGACGCGATGGGTAAATATAATTAGAGATGTGCATTTTAGAATGAGAGCTTATTATAGCCTCATTGACAGAAAGCTCCACCTCCAAGTGAATAAGCCAGTACAAAAAAATCTGCCATTTTCGATCTGAGCAGTTATTTTTACTTCATTGCTCTCGCATTGTTCAAACAAGACGAGAGGAAAATTATCATTTAAGGCCTCTTGGATTGACTGACAGGTGACTTTCAGAGCCAGCCATGATAGCCGCCTACTTAATTCGGGCTTCCTGTCCTTTTTGACCAACATATCTTGAAGTTTTTGACACAAATTTTGTGTGTCAAACACACTTTCTTTCTCGCTGTGCAACCATGAAAAACCAGTCAATACCAACCAGCAGGAGGCAAGAGCTGAACTGGTTTGAAGGGTTGTGACGTGGGAGGGTAAACTGACTGATGTAGATACAGAAGTTGTTCATGTGGGAGGTAAACTGGTTACAGATAACAGCTCATTTAACCCACAGGGTCCCACCTGCTGCTCTCCCAGGGGGCCGTGCTCCAGATGGCCAGTCATTGCTTTCACACGGGCCCAAGTAAGAAACACTAACAGGCCCTGTTTGGAGTCCTGGTGGGAGTTTGTCTGATGCTGCTGGTGGTGGGTTTGTGTGTGTCTATACTGTATTGTGTGGGTGCGCTGAAATGTCCAGCACATAAAAATGAGAAGGAGAGTTGAAATCCATTGAGTTCATTTCCCCATTTAGTGACAAAATGTACACCAGTTAGCGACCAACAGCGTCTGACGCATTCCTCCATGCGTTACCTCATTGGTCAGGATCGTTAGACGCTGACAGATATGGGTCATTTAATTTTAGGAAATACAAACATGGCCGAGACGATTCTCTTCGATGGAGTGGAATTGCCCCCCTACGCTGTCATCATTTTACGGTTTTCACATCCTGTCGGCATGATTTTTGTCAATATTTTGCTGCACGCTGTGTCTTTCAAAGTCACATTCTGCTCCTAAAATTGCAGGTTTCTGGTAGAACAGTACATACACGAACAAATCATTGTCAAAGCCTGAATCGATAGCTTTTAGCAGTGGAGCTCCTCTCACTGGTGATGGAGAGCATCGCTGTCAGCCCGGCGATGATTCACAATAAAAGCTTAGTGAAGGGCACCAAAAGCCAAAGGGACAAACATGTGATTACTCTGTTGCAATTTTTTGGCTGCTCGAACAGGTGACAGTGTAGACAATAGAGGTAAAATGCCAAAAAGTAGAGTAATAAATTGCACAATGGCATTATTGCTCGTGTGAATTGTATGTTGTCTTGGTGACACAAAACCACAAAATGCTAGCACGCTAGGTTTCATCAACGGACGTTTTCTTTATTGCAGCATCACGACTGAACAGAGTCCACGTCATTAAATCTATAAACTGTGGAAGTTTCTTGGTGTTTTTTGCTCTTGTCACATTTTTCACTGCAATATAAAGTCCTTCACCTCTTTGAAAGCAGCACAGTCATGGGTGACTGTAGAGAGAACTCAGCAATATTTACTGCGCAGTATGACAAAGTTAGAATGAAATAGATTATATAAAAAGAAAAAGAAAAAATCTTTGAATATTTAAAAAAATGGAATCAACATTTTTCCAACTGCCCACAGGTGTTACCATTACTGGGAAAAATGTGATTCTACATAATGAGTATAGTCTGATATACATTTTTATCTATTTGCTTTTTGTAATTGCATTCTGCAGTTTAGCCAGAAAGTCCCAGAATTTTTTGTTGAGTATTTCTTGCTCGCAGCTGATTTAATCATGGCTTCAAGGTTGTGCAGAGGAGCAAAGAGTTTTTTTTTTTTTTTTTACAGAATCTAGTAAGAGCAAATGGTTTATTTTGTAAATTTAGAAAGATAATCCTGTTTTGATCCCACAGTGGGGAAATTTGCAATGTAAAACAGCAGCAAAGGGGATAATGCAAAAATGTAGTTATACATAAGGACTGTCGATAATGTACAGATCCTTGTACATGTAGAACAACTAGGCATTGCCAAGATTCATCTAAATGTGGAAAATAACAGGATTGTACAGGGTTATTCTATAAGTAGAAGAAAAACCTGACACTTTTCTAAATGTACAATATATTAATAATGTATGGATGTTGTACCAGAGTGAAATATGACAGTTTTTCTATGTGTGGCCTCCTTGGAGCAGTGCTGGTTTAAAGGCTGAAGTAGACATGAAAGAATTAGATATTAAACTTACATTTGGCTTCCAGACTGAATGTAGGATCATAAAGTAGTTCATGGCCCTCCAAATGGTGATGATCTGAGCAGTCTGTTTTTATAGTTTCTGGTGTTAAAATGAAGTAATTTTGGTGATTAAAAAAAAAAAAAAAACAGAAGCATGCCCCTTAAGCTTGCTGGCAGGTTTTGGGGTTTAAAGGGTTAAATAGCCACAAAGAAATGCAGAAAGACATTAAAGCTTAAACTTAGACCAGCACACCTCTTCATATCAAAATGAAAGCTTACATCTGTATTCTCCTCTAACTCATTTGCTCGATTTTTGGTTTAACATTTAGCATGCCTCACACACAACCCGTCCACTCTGCATGTAGCACTTTAATTGACAGCGTTTTTAACCGGTGGTGAAATCAGTTTACATTTTCACTCCACTGGTATGTTTATGCATGTCCACAGAGTAGCTGCTGTTAGTGCCTGTCATCCTGCACCTATTGGCTGATTCCCGAGGGGATTTTAGCGTGTGGCTTACAGATGAGACCGTGCTGCTGTCCAAATATGATGCATAGCCGTGTTGTGCTTTAATGCTTCCCAGCAGGTTGGAGGTTAGAGTGGAGGAAGATGAGCATCCTGACAGCATGGTCCTCACTGCTCGTCAGTCAGACCGAACCTATACGGCTGCTCTGCTTTCCCTCTGCACCCCCCCTGCTCATGCAAGCAGAAAGAGCGAGTCTGGAGGAGTCGTGATGCCCATCTCAATGAGGAGGAGGGGGGGTGGTGGAGGAGTTGGAGTGGGACAAAAAGGGAGGTGGTGCACAGAGCAGTGGAGGAGAGATGTTGCAAGTTGTACCATACACAAATCTAGAGGGACCGTTATCAAAAAAATAAAGAGGAAGACGGGCAGAGCAGGAAGGAGACGAGCAGCGAAGCTGGAGGAGTCGTGATGCTCATCTTAATGTGGCTGTGCAATGCTAGAAAGACTGTTTCAGGAGGAGGGTAAAAGAAAAATGAAAAGTTGAAATCATGTTCATGCCACCAGCACTGAAAAACTGTTGCTAGTCCGACACATTTCTCTGGTATGATTTTGTCTCAGATACAGTCACTTAAATCTTTTTCACAGCATGTCAGAAATTTGTTCTATGCAGCTCTATCTTCAGATTAGAGGCTTTTCAGCAAGCATCCATTTGTAACGCAACCTTGTGATTTCTCAGCACAAATCAGGGAGGACGACTCGCATTACTGGCTCAAATACACAGAGCCTGCATGAACGCCACCTCAGCAAAAAACTGACCTTCAGACAGGAATTCAGACAGGACCCAATCGTGAGCGTGAGTTTTAACAAGTTTTTATTAAAAGTCACAGCCAGATATGGCTGCCAGTGGATCATCAACTGTTTTGTTTGGTGTTCAGAGCAGATGCAGACTTCTGCCCAGTCAGGATCACCTCACCGCTTGAGACTAGAGCTCGCTGGCTTGGGGAAACATTTCTTCCTGCAGCGACCGATCTCCCTACAAAAGAGTTAAATGTTGGATTTCAATAGTGCTAGGGAAAAAAGCAGTTTTGATAGTGATCAGTCATGCTAAAAAAAATTCCCTAACATTCTGCTTCTAGCTCCTCCAGAATGTAGACTTGTGGCTTTTCAATTTCCCTTGGGCTCAGGAATGTTATGTACACCAAGTTTTACAACTCTGGTATCTGCTGATACCAAATTTCCAATCTGATAACTAATCCTTGTGCTCACCCACCGATGTGAAAGCTGTAAACTTATGTGTGGAAAAGTTTGTGCAAGTAACTTTGGGCCAGACGGCTTCTTAGGCAACGGCTTAATGAAACTCAGAGCAAAAAGACAGTATTGTGACCAAGTACACGGATGTGATAACCAATGGACTTTTAGACTTACGTCGTCTGTGACACCGCTGCTCACAAGAGTCTGTGTTGCTCGGATAACACACCGCTGTACTGCAGTGAAGGAAGACCTGGAATAAAAATATACGCAAGTTGCATATTTGGTCAAGGAAACTACAAATTGATTTCCGTTAATGAGACGAATGTTATTGAGCTGAGCCGTACCGTGTCTTTCTGAGGAGTGAAGGCGTCCGCATCCACAAACGTGAACATCTTACTGATGAAACGTTTGTAGTGCGTTGGGTACTCAAGCCCAGAGGAGCCATCCACGGGAACCACTGTGGTCCGGTATCGGTCATCTTCGTAGGGACACCTAAAGACAAGACAAGTTCAGAGCCTTACAAGCCAACGTACATGTACAACAAAAGGATTAAATATGATATGCTTGATATACCCGTCAATCAGAAGGTCCCACTGAGGCAGGCTGAGGGGGTTCGGAGTGGCCGTGGCCCAGCAGTGCTCCAGGTTCAGGATGATGTTTGGATCAGACCGGTCCAGGATACGTACCTCTACATACAGTGGTTCCCTCAACACTTTAGTGACCGGGTAGTCCGACGGAGCATAGAATGAGCCATATGCTGCCTCCTCTGCAATCAGAATGGTACAGTTTCAATCTAGATTAGACAGTCTGTCCCAATTTGATTTGCAACAGCAGTCGACAACGAAATTCATAAAACAGCACAATACAAAGAAACAGAACCGACAGTGCAAGGACACAAGCCTAAAGCTTATTTAGAAACCCTACAGCTGAGGGAAACAAATAATCTGATGTATCTGTTTTATTTGGCCCTCTTAGGGAAGGTGTACCTCTTTCCAGACAAAAAGTAAAAAGTCAGCATACAGAGGGTGGTGTGGGTGGGCTAAGATGATCTTTGCCCTCTGAATGGCTCTTACTTGGTAAACATTGTCAAGCTGCTGCAGGCTACTGCCAGTGGGTTTTGGCAAAGTTTGACAATGCTCCCAGCTGATTTTATTAGTGATGCTAAGATTCTCGTAGCAGCAAATCACTGCAAAAGGATTGACTCAAAGGATGAATAAAACATTTTTATGAAAAGCAAACAGTCAACATTAAAATCTTAGCTTTTTTTTTCTCGAGTTGGCTTTTTTTTGCAGATGTAGTCTGTGTTGGCCTCTAAGGTCAGTTTGTCATCCAAGATGATTCCCAAGTACTTGTACTGGCTTACAGTCTCCACAGCTCTACCATTACTGAAAGTGGGTTTTGGGACAGGTGGATTGTTTTGGGGGGTAAATACACCAGTCGTTTGACAAACTGAAACCACATTGACAATACAAGACAGATCAAATGCACACAACTCCTGTTGCTTGTCGCTGCGCCATATGCCAAAGTCTACCAAAGAGTCTCCACTCTGCTGTTATGAGGTCGAAGCCACCCACCTTCCACACATCCTTTAGCGTAACACTCTCCGTTGCCCAGTCGGAGCTCCACTCTGAGGGGTCCTGCAGCAGCAACCGGTATAGGGGGAGGAACATCGTTCACCTCCAGGACGAGAGCCTCCACAGCTGTGCCGGAGTACCTACACTGGAACAATAACCTGTCGGCAGAGCAGAAGGCTTTATGGGTCCGTCCCAAAATCCCACACTCGCAGTATTCCAGAATAGTCAAGTGCCTACTTAGCTGCCACGGCGCCCATCAAGACTGAAATTATGTGGCTGTTCAGAGCTCACTGGGACATTTGAGTTACAAAAAGACGTCTCATCACTCCCATAAATTAATTTTACTCGTGGCACAGATTGGTTTGGAACAGAGGGTTGAAACTTATAATATTCATCATCAGTTAATCTTCTTGATGAGTTGCTTGATTAAAATGTTGATCAGGGTTTCCTAAAGCCCAATCTGAGGTCCTCACATGTCTGTTGTCCACAACCCAGAGATTTTTAGTTCACCAGCAGTAAAGAAACCAGAAAATATTCTAATTTTAAAAAAAAGAGCTGGAATCAGGATTTGCTTTGTTAAAGCAGTTGGCAGTTAATTTAATAGTTTAACCACTAATCCAGAAATCACTGCAGCTCTAGAGGATCAAGTAAATAGTTACAATCAGATGGTGCTAAAAGCTAGTTTAATACATGCATTTAGTTTGGAGAAACACAAGCATGCAGGTCTAATGGATACTAAACAGGCTGATTTAACGTTTTTGATAAATACATCTGTGTTGACTGTCAATGTGCAATAATGGCATCAGCCTCAAGAACAGAGTCTTGCTTGTGGAAATTCTGCAACACCTTTGAAGTGCTTGGTCATTAATATTTATGTTAAATGTTTGTTATTGCCGGTCATAAAGTTTATAGGCGCTCACCCACCAGCAGCTAAACTGATTGTAAATGATGCTTCAGAGATACAACAGGGGAGGAGGGCAACAAGCGCAGGTTAAGTGTTCTGTATCGTACGTGAATCTGAACTTAAGTGCTGAAGAGTGCCAGACTACATCTAAGGAAATGTCAGGGGGTCACTAAACCAGTAAGGCTCACAGATTTTTTTTAACATGAACTCACTCAAAATGACTGTCCCTGGTGATTGACCCTCTCGGTCCGATCCCAACCTCATATGAGGAAGACATGTGGTTTTCATAGACCACCAAACCGTCGTTCTCCTCCTGCAGAAACACAACAAGCAGCCAAATGCAAGAGACAAAACACGCTGGCATGTCATTGGTCGTTCAGGACATTTATCGAGCAAAAAGAAGTAAAAAAATAATAATTTCCACATCATAAAAGTGTAGGAATTCCAGATAATGCCAGCTGGGTCAGGTTTCTGCTCAGCTTTTAAAGAACCAGTTTGTGTTGTGGGATCCTAAACTTCAACCATCTGACCAGTCAGAGATAAACAGGACATGCTAAAGCTGTCGCAGAAAAACATAAATAAAATAAAGTCCTGAAACGCTCCCCACCCACCTGGAATTTAGTGCCACAAGCAGTCACAGGGAACTGAAAGATGGCAAAGGCAGAGGTGACATGAGGGCTGCAGGAGGCGTCATCAGTCTCTAACAGGCTGACTGAATTCACATCTGTCGGCGGCACGGTGGAATCTCGAGCCACAACCACCACAAACTGGCCGTCCCTGGTGCACTGCACAGTCACTGGGCGAGAAGACGACACATGGATGAATTTCTCTGTTTGAGGCGGTTTACACTCGCTGCGCAAGAACGTAGAGAGCACAGATACCTGCTTGCCCGTAGTAGCACTGCTGCCCGTCAAAGCAGCAGTTTATGGCTTCGCACTGCTCAGCGGTGAGATCAGGAACGCCACACTGGATCTTCTCACCCTCCTCCACCTGACATTTATCAAAGGACTCTGCGGGTGGAGGGACCGTCGACTGTTGCTGAGACCACTGATAAGGAAGAGCAGGTTGGGGTTTCTGCAGAGGCGGCGTCCAGTGACCCTGGGCAGTAACATCACAAAACAAAACGACCGCCACCACAACACCAAACAGATACTTGAAAAGCTCCATCATGGTGTTAGTAACTACACACTGGCACAAACTGCAGCAACAGCATCTACCGCTCAGACGCAGTCTTTATACATGATTGACTGTGTGTAGTTTGCTAAGAACTCCGCCTCTCATTGTTAGGAGTCAATTGTGTGACAGCCCTGCAGAGTTAATCAGCTGGGGAGCTGACAGGTGAAGCTTATTGTCTGCTCATCTGTCTGAAAAGAAGTCATTACACGACTGCTGAGTCAAAGCTGAGGGGATTTTTTTTTTTTTTCTAAAAGAGACTGAAGAAAAAATGATCTGTGTGGATTTCTGAGTTACAGGCAGTGAATTTCCCAACACCTGGTTCTGTTTACTCTGATAGTAAGAGCATTTTATGAGATA